CCGCTTTGAGAGCTATGAGGGACCATCTGCACCGGGATCCCCGAGAGCGTAGCTTGCCTTTGCTGGCGCAGGACTCGGAGACGGCTAGCTCGAGTACGCCAAGAGACGCTCATCAGAAGACACGCTTTTCAATTGACGAGACTGTTATACTGAAGTTCACGAATTCAGACCGATCGAAGACGTCGAGTTTTCATGCCGAAAAAAATATTCGTATTCTTTTCTTTGGAGGCGAAGTAAAGCCGGATGTTCCATGATGTAGACCATCTGTAAGTAAACTATTCTAAAGCCTCTGAATTAAATTATAATCCTTTGTTACGTCGTCTGAGTGATACTTTCTTTCGCTGCGAGATGGCGTAGCGAAATTTGCGTGATGTTACGGAAGACAAGGCCTGATGGTCTCAACAATTGAAATGCAAACAACGTATCGAGGAGCACGAGTATAAAGGTGTTATGAAAATGGTGAATAATCAGGGCAGGTATGAATAATATTGTTAGAAGTCTAAATCTGTATGGTTACAGTAAACCAGATTAAGTGATTCTGGAAACTACTTTATTTTTTGTGTAAGATATGTTAAGATTTTGTGAAGAAACATTATGTGAAACAAATCAAGTTTAAAGCATTTGTACCATTTTATTCAAATGTACTTATATCAATGAATTTTTGTCAAATATTGGTATGGAATAAAAAATGTACTGTTGCAATGAAATACTTATTGCAGAGAGTTGGTTTCTATTAAATGTAAACGATGAATTGGAGAGCAACTAATGGACTTGTGTCAATAACTTTTTATATTTTAATTAATAAAAGAAAACTCAGAAGAAATTAAAAAAGACATGTGTGTAATTTTTCTGAAATTTCCCACAAACATTAAAATATTAAACACCAAAAATATTTAGAGGGATATAATAACAATACTTGCTCGATTCTAAATATAAAAAATCATTTTCTTTGTTTAAAAAAATGTTATGTTTCGCATGTTCGACCTGCCAATAGATCTAGGTGTTATACTCGTCTTCAAGCATCTCTTACAGGAATACTAACCTCATAAATAAACGGAAGCTCACCGTATTGAACCAATAACGATGAGCTAATTGGGCATTGCCAATAGAAAATGTTACAATGTGTAGCGGGTATCACCTACCTATTACTCTTTCTTATTGTAGTGATCAAATGTTCAAATGAGAAATGCTAACGATTATAAAGTAATAGTTTAGGATATTCTTTATATAAAACTATATAGTTTATTTGTACTTGGCGCGACGGCCCGTGTAGGGCCATGGCCTATCAGCGGCGACCCGGCCTCGCAACTATGGGTTAAGGAGGTACGTGTGGTAGGCACGAAGACAGCCCCACGCCGTATTCCGGCCGACAAGTGAGCTTTCTCATCGTCACACAGCAACAGATACTGGGACATTGCAAGGATAGGGCACACTATAATCTTGCCTGACCGGAAGTCGAACCCCGTCTCACTATTACAGTCATGGAAAGCGAGCACATTCACCAATGAGCAATGGCACCAGGCCCAAGAGTGTATAGTTCCTTTCAGTAATCTGTAGTTATGAACAAAGATATAACATAGATTTCTTCTACGTAACAATTATTTCATGGACCTCCATTGATTTTAAAATATAGGCAGATATTGATTCCAACATCAATCACAAAGGAAAATGTTTTCGTGAACGTCCAAAGGCTCGATAACTGATTGATTCTTAACTTATTTCCTTGTCAGAACACCTCACTACAATTAGCATTAGCCATTCAAACTCACTTTTCACTCAGCAACATTTGAAGGTTCTGTTAAGCCAGAGATACCTTATTTTCTGCCTGACGTTTTTACATTAGTTTGGCATTATCAGGGGCGTCGATATACTCCGTTGTAGGAGACATGCACACTATGTGCAGTTGGGCATGTCACGCGACCGAATACGAGCATTGTCTCGCGTTCTTTTGTCAGAACCGGCTTGAACGACTTGAAGACAGGAAGTGCCTCCAAACCCCGTCCAGGTGAGTCCTGCTTGCTTCCGAGCGCTACACGGAATTGCTTTCATAAAGCGCTCTAGGAGTTTAACCATAAAAAGATATTTTTAAGCGCTCTAGGAGCTTAATTTTTGCGACTCCTCTGAGAGATGTTCAAATACAGACAATATTAGTAATGAGATCCGAATAATTATCAGTTTAGGATTGGTCATTCTCAGAATGTTGGTGTTACTAATATTGACTTTTTTTCGGGCGCACTTGCGACATGTATGCATGAAATACGAATGGGTGAAAACCAGAACGGTACGAGTGGCATTTTATAAATTCAGAGAAATCTGCTTATTTAAGTCAATATTACTGTAAAGTTGTGGTGCTTTGTTTCATCAATAAAACCACGGCATTTCAATTGCTCATTAAACCATGAACACACATTGCCAATGAAATATATCTCAAAATAAACGCGTTCTTCTCAGAACTTATAAAATGACACTTATACCATTATGGTTTTCACCCATTCATATATGAAGTAGCGTACCTGTGCGAGAATCTCGCATGTTGAACCCCACTCTCTTCCCTATCCTTCCACTTCCATATTAACGGTGGATATTGTTAACGCAACTTGTTTAAAATATGTATAAAGGTAACTTTTAATGGGCTTACAGAATATCAAATAAAAGTACACAATGCAATTGATATTGGAAACACATTTTCAATAAAGGTTTATTCACTATTGCAGAAAAATGTTCTTGGAACAATTCGCTACACTTCCTTAAAAATAACATTTGAAGTAATTATATAATCTTCCTTGACACTTTACTTTTCGCATTCCTTGACATTTACAAAAATATTATAAACGCTTTTTACTCTTTATAAAGCTACGTAAAGTTGTCTATGAGAAAATAAAGGATCGAGCAAGTACAACCCCATTCTTGCAAAGTTTGAAACTGAAATTTCAATGCAATAGAGTATCAAAAAGAGTCAAACCAGCAAAAACGTAGAGCTAATAGAATGTCCAAGAAGATCTCATATAATAGAAACGATTCTTTTAGTTATTTGACCTCTAAATTCCAGGTTTAAGGCCCTAAAAAAGCTTCGTTTTGGAGTTAACTTTATAGATTTCAAAATTCTTGTGCGAGTGATGTGGGTTGCATTTGTCATGGATATTTATGTTTTTTTCACAAAACCTTCATATTTTAAAAGTTAATCTGCAATACGTCAAGTCTCCTTAAAGTTTTCTCTTGAGAACCCTCATTTATAAAGATTGGTTGCGTGTGAGCGCCGCAAAACTCATCTATTCTACTGATATAATATAGAGAGGA